AACGCGAAGCCCAGTGAAGTCAAACGAGTCCACAAAGTTGATGAGAATCTTAGAGTCGACGTTTTTCTTCTTAGAGATATATTCTCCAATCATTTTTTTATCAAGACCAGGGTTCTCTCGCAAGAAAAGTGCCACTTGCATGGGATTAAGTTGAGCATCTAGAATGCCGTGTTCTTGCAAGTACTGAATGCCTTTGTCAGGTCGTTGATTAAACCAGTCAGTACCCTTGGACAACAAGCGCTTCTTCTGCTTAACGGTGGCTAGTTGTTCTCTTGTTATGCCTCCACTCTCTCCCGCAGACTGCAGTCGCAAACGCTGTGAGCTGTTGTTGATGAAGTTTGCTATGTTTTCAACGTGCTCCTCCCCGTTGTCAATGACTATGCCTTCAAGGCCGCTGTTATGGCGTGAGTGTCGACTACCACCAACATCAATCCCTGGAGTCTGAGCCAGAGTGTTGTTAAGACTGTTATTGCTCTTGGCAGCTGCACAGTTACGTTCGATGCAGTCGATGACACTGATTAGCGTATCCATCGCTATAATGTGCGTACTGTAAACTGCATTAGTGGCTGAAAGCGTGTATTTGCTGAGTAAATTGGTGAGACTCTCAAACATGTCTGTACAGTACAGGTCGCAGTCGTAGTTAATGTACAATTCCGTAACAAAACCAGGAATGCGCCATAGTTGCAGCAGATTGTCTAACGCCAGTTCTCGCATCTCATATGGGGTTTTCGGATTATCACTTGCTATGATTTCGCTCACCTTCTTCAGGTAGCACTCCAATTGAAATTTAAGGTGGCCTCGAAGCGATTCAAAGAGCAAAAAACAAAGCTGCAAATCAGCGGCAAAGATGCTAAGACGCTCGGAGCTGAGCAGCTGGAAAATAGGAAACGTGTTAAATTATCTATTCCATTAAGTATTTATAGTACATATTATTACCGATATTAAATTCCTGCACAAATCGTCTTTGACCAGCTCCAGCAATACTTCATATTTTCCAATGTTGTCCGCAGCCACCTCAAAGGCCACGGTCAGCAAACTTATAGCAGTGTGCATCATGCTGTCCGAGTTTTGCTTATCCAATGGATTGCACAATATAATGAGAAACCGAAACAACTCCTGAATGAATGGCAGACCATAAGGCGTTAGCTTAGAGGACAATGATACTGCATCCTGGCTAGACGACTGCTGGGTGAACCGCACTCCCACAGAGTTAATATATTCACTGCTATTGGCGTCGGCTAGTGTTGTAGTTGTAGACTCCTCATCCCCATCGGCTGATTTGTCAAGCTTCGTAGCCTCCACCTGAATCGATGGTACATCTAGTCCTGCACTGATTGTATTCCCAGTATTATTATCAGTTATTGTTGTTGTGGTGGGTGTCTGCGTAATCTTGCCCTGCATATCCAGAATATTGCCAGCTGGAGAAGCAGGTGTAGTGGCGAGAATAGGCGCCTTCAAATGCGTGGGCGGCGCTAGCGTGCTCTGCGGCGTCTGAGGAGGTTCCTCGGCTGTAGATGATTTGCGTTGTGACGCACTTAAGGCCGGCTGTGCCTTACGTTTATGTTTCTCTGCAGTTGCACCAGCTGCTTCATAAATGGTAAACCGCTTTTGTAGCGCTGTATCGCTGCCGTCCTCTGTGAACTGTGGCAGACGCATGAAAAACAACAGCACCATGTCCTTCAGAGACTGTTCTGCAGATCGCCGGAGCAGCTCGCTAAGACGCGACTCGAAACAGATCTTAAAACAGCTGAGCATCACTTCGCACATTGACTCATTGCTAACAGCGGCACCTTCTGGGCTTCGGATTAGGGTGTGAAGCACTTCGATAACACGCATAAATGTTACACTGTCAGAGGACTGATCGGTGCCCATAAAACGGGCATGAGTAACAGCATCTGCAATCATCTCTACAATTACTGCTAGATTTGGTGTCGTGGGATCTAAATTTTCAGTATTAAAGAAATTGAATAAGCAGATGGCAAAACCCAAAGAGACGTTCAAATCATCATGTACACACCAATCAAGCCATATGACAAAAATTTATTGACCGAGGCTAAGGCGAGACTAGTTAATGGTCCAGTGGTGTCTGCTGTTCGAATCACCTCAAGAAAGGGCGCCAGAAACACGTTCGGTTCAATTAAACGCAGATCCTCTATTCGATTTAGCACCTGCTTCAGATCGATGAACAATTTTAACAAGCCGTCCTTCTCGTCATCCTGCATTTAAATGATCAAGTTAAATATGTTTTTAAGAAATTTGTATACATATGTATGATTACATATGTACGTCAGGAACTTACCACGTAGGCTGCTGCGTTCCAACGAGTACCACGTCGCATGGCCGTCATTAAGGTGGCCATTTCACCTCGTACCACATAAATTCCATTTCCTGGCAGTGACATTGTGTCCAGGTTCAGTAATTGCAGATAATTGGCTTCAACCTTTAGGAATTTGGCACGAAACAAACGAATTTTTAATAACCTGCTGCTGCAGCTCTTTTTCTTTCATATGTACATATGATTTACTGCAATTTGACACAGCAAGGCGCACACACACTCATACACACATACACTCACTAATTGTGTATAAAAGAATACGTTTAATTAAACATTTTATTAGTACGAAATTTGTCAATAAATTGTTTGCTAGTTTTTGGTGACGTTTACGACGTGTATGTCCCGTTTCAGTTTATTTACTAGCAACCCTGCCAATATCGATATATCGATAGAGCTAGTATTTTTTCAATTTCTCTATAATAATTGCCATTCTCATTACAATATAAAAAACGTTTAAAATTTCTTAAAAATTTAAATCTTATATGATTTATTGAAATAAACTTAATAGGCCTTGGCTTTGTGAATATGTACTTTGACATATACATATGAAAAGGGTAAAATATTTCGGACAGTGTGGCAGTGCATAACTATTTTGTTAGTCTGAAGCTGATGTCATCCTTGTAGCTGTGCGACAGTATTTACAACTCAAATAACTTATTGAACAAGGTACCTACCTACATTCATTTTGATTTGCCATTTTTATTGCTACTATTATATTATCGTCGAGAATTGTATGTTAAGAACTTTTGAACTAGCTGATCGCCAAGAAGCTGGCTCTAAAAATGGTAACTTTTCTTGGAGGATCATTTAAATTTCAATGAATACTGAACGTCTATAGTAATGAACGATTGCAGACATCTTTAAGAGCTTAAGGTCAACATCGATCACGCAATTGAATGCATGCCATTTAGAATGTCATAAGCACTGCTGAAATTATATACAGAGTTGATATTCTGTAAATTCAGTAATTTACAGTTAACAATCGATTTTATCTTTAGTATTTTTACAATGGCTAATAACACTGTTAAAAGTGCTCGTGGTATATCGCAGGCAACGCTGTGTTCTTTCGAAAGCGCACTTTACATGCACGTGGTTGTATTTTTCTGTCTAGTTATTTAGTAATTTTGTAAAATAACCAAAGTAATCATTGTTGTCCAATGCACGCTCGTTAGTTCAGTAACTTTATTCTTTCGGGTGCTATTTTTGATGGACAAAGAGTAATTTAACTCTTACCAAAGTGATGTGCGCAAAATACTTAGTACATCATTTTCATTAAATTGTTAAACACATACACATGTACATACATATGTATGTATTTTTCAAGAATACCCTTGCGTTGAGCAGTAAATTGTCGCTGATTGATAAATAGGCGACTATAATGCAAACAACGGTAGAAAAACTAACGACATTTAATAATACACTGACCAATAAATCTCATGGACATTGTATTTTGAGGTGTCGCGACATGCTTATGTATGCATTTAAATGTATGTATGTACATACATACATATAAATGTATTTATTCATTTAGGTTATGTATGTACATATATATATACACTTGCCAGAAAAACTATGCGTACAGGCCTAACGTGCGACTTTGATAGA